AAAAAAAAATAAAAATAAAAAACATCGCTCCGGTATTCGAATGGCGTACAAAGTTTTCTCGGCCTTAAAACAATTCTTCTTGTATAATTAATAATCGTAACACCATTAACCTACAAGTTAATAATTTTCTCGATTGTTTAAAATAAAAACTTTAGTATTCAAGAAGTTAACCAACTTCAACTCCGATTTATTTAGTCCGAACTCTTTGATGATAGGATTACAAAACCCACAAATATTCATGGTGTCGAAAAGAAAGAAAAATTTATTGGCCGAAAATGTCACCTTGGTCTTGTTGGCATTCGATGCGCGGAAGACGATTTCGAAAGAGATTTCGAGGCGCGGTACCCCTCTTCTCTTCCACCTTTGAATCGAGTCGATAAGGAGATGCTTTTGGCACATCTCCAAAACGAAAGGCGGCGGGTCGCCGGATCGGAATGTAACGGCTCGACGAGCCCCTGTAAGGAGTTTACTACACGGTGCATACTAAATAGGCTACTATATACTCTTTGAAAGTTTGCCTCTTTGGTCTTAATAGATTGTTTCAATGAAAGAAACTCTAGAAAATTCTATATAAGACCCAAAACGAAAAGAGAAATCTAAAGGATTAAAATTATTACAGTTTATCCTAAATTTATAATAATAAGTATAAAGTCAAGATTCTATATTATAGATATTTTTCTCTAGAGATATTTTTATTGAGATTGGTAAGATTTTAATATGTAATAATAAAATCTCAAAGTAATGGTTGTATAAAAATAATGTGTAATAAATAAATTAAATATTTAATTCTTAATAATTAAATAAAACTTGAGTCTACTTACCCTAACGCCCTCTATACGTAACAGCTCAAATCTTCCTATCCAATGTGTATTGAATACAGTTTTCTTTATCTCCTTTTAAACAGAAATACTTCCCAAGTATATGGAAAGTTGCTGAAATAATAATGATACCAAAACCTGATAAACCACAAACCAGATGTTGCATCATATAGGCCAAGCTTATTATTACAGTTACTATCAAAATTGTTTGAAAAATTACTATTAAAGAGATTAAAAGCTGCCATAGAAGAAAAAACACTAATACCACCACTACAATAACGAATACTATCGAAATAGCAATGGAAAGGAATAAAGTCTGCTCCGTCGTATTTGTAGATGTTGCACAAGCTTTCGATAAAGTCTGGTTAGATAGTTTAAATGACAAACTAGACCAAATACTACCATTAATGTATAGTCAACTATTAAAATCGTATCTAGCTGATCGATATTTTAGAGTAAAATACGAAAACGCTTATTCGCCGTTACATGGAATATAAACCGGCGTTTGTCAAGTAAGTGTGCTTGATCCAACGCTGTACTTACTCTACATCTTCGACCTTCCTCAGATACCAGAAACTTTATTCGCAGTTACATTCGCAGATGACATAGCGATCTTGGCTGCTGAAATATGTTACAATTGGCGTTAAATTCAATAAAAAACTGGAACCACACAATGGCTAATAAAATTAAATACAAATAATTCGACATACATACACTTTACTTGTAAGAAAGTAAACTATGTCCCAGTATACATAAATGACAATGCAGTTCCTTATGCCAACACCGCAAAATATCTTGGAATGACGGTGGATGCCAGACTCAAATGGAAAACTCATCTCAAGAAAAAAAACCTTCTGGCTTTTTAGCAGAAAATCTACGTTATCACTAAGAAACAAGTTGCTAATATACAAGCAAGTATTAAAACCAAAATGGACATACGGAATCCAACTGAGGGGTTGTACCTGCAAGACAAATGCAAGTCTGAGTCAAAGATTCCAAAACTGAGTACTAAGATGGATAGTGAATGCACCTTAGTACATAAGAAACACCGACGTCCATTTCGACTTGGAAGTAGCATCAGTGTCATCAGAAATTGAATCCAGCTTCTTGACAACGAGGAGGTCCTGCGCCGCCTTCAGAGGATGAAGCCGTTCTATTTAGTGACCCAAACGTAAACAATAGTGCGGAATTATAACAAAAAGAGTAGTAACTGACATGTGTGTTTCGCGTATTGCAGTGTGCTCGTTTTGTATTACGATCCTACAACTCTAAAAATATGACAATATTTATCTATATTAAGTGTAAAGCAGACTGGACTACTGGGTTCAGCTGCCAAACATTATTTTGTTTAATTTTGTGTAATGTCAAAAATAAGTAACCATTTGTATGTAAAGTAGCATGTCTATTTTATACTATTTCTATTTGGCCAGAATTTGCAGCTTTTTTTATTGCCGCTTCTCGCATACCAACAGCCAGCGGTTCTTATCATTCCAATCATCTTCACCCAGTCCTCTCCTCTTCATCTCCTCATTGATATCCTGAATACATTTTTTCCTAGGTATACCTCCATTGTTTCTTTTTGCTGGCACCCAGTTCCAAACCTAAAGTGGGAGTCTCTTTCTACTTATTCGACGTAGATGTCCATACATCTACGATACATATAGTGTATCTACTGTGCGTGATAAATATCCGGATCTCATGAGCATTATCGTGGATGAGTTTAATCAACCATCCACCACATAGACTTCACCTGAATCTGTTGTTTCATTAGTGCCTACGGGAACCTTCGAGCGTCGCACCGATCACTTTCTTAACACTTACTCTTATTGTAACTTGTAGTCAATTTATTAATGTTTTAAACGATAATAATAAAATTTTAGAACTTACTGGAATATTGAAAACGGCTTGCGTTATTCCAATATTTAAATCCAGTTGGTATCCAATTACCGTCCTATTTCTATCCTTTCAGCTATCTCCAGGTCTCTGGAAAAATTATCCACGAATATCTTAGTCTCTCTATTTCTCACTCTATAATCAATAAACAACATGATTTCCTGTCTGTGCGATCGGCTTTAAGCGAGGATACTCAGATTGACGCCATCTACACCGACTACTCCTTTAATCTTGTTCACTGGATTATATCGTATTTATCTAACAGAAGTCAGGCGGTCAGGATTGGTAGCTGTATTTCTGGTTACAAACCTATCACATCCGGTGTGCCTCAGGGCGGTATCTTGGACCCTTACTATTTGTAATGTACATAAACGATTGTATGTGTATGTAAGAGACGGGGAGAGTATGCAACGCACACAGCACTTAGGCCCCAACGGGCCCCTTGTGCATCCTTCCAACACTCACTCCGGTTATGTATGTATGTTACGGGGAGTGCGTATTCTATACGCGTCACCTAGGCCACAACGGGCCCCTTGTACATCCTCCTCTAAGAGGTTTGAGATGTTAAACGCGAGCTTAACTCGATTTCTAGCCGATTCCGATTCCTGACCGAGCCCCCTCTCAGTATAGCAACCGTCATCTTTCTGCAATAAACCTATTCGCCGCTCCGGGTCTGAGGCCCGAACCCTTTTAAGACAAGAGATTTCGTTTCCAGAGGTTACGTCTTCGCAGAATCTCCTCCACGCCCCTCTGTTCTTTCGGCGAACACTTTCTTTAAACTCCGATAGTTTGCCTTTACAGCAGTGCCAATCAGAATTTAATCTCGAGCTTTTTACTTTATTGAAGGCTGCTCTGAACTCCCTCTTAAGGTCGCTGAGCTCAGTGCACCACCACAGAGTGGCACGTCCTGAATCAGCTTCCAGACGGAGTGGACAAGTGTTTTTATACGCAATTGTCAGGGAATCTGTCAACACCAATGATCGTTCCTCAACATCCCTGCTCAAATTGGTTTTAAATTTTCAAAGTTTTTACTCTATGCCGACGATAATAAAATATTCACAAGGATCAGGTCTAATCTGGACTGTCTTAGACTACAAGAGGACCTTGAGTTTGTTGAAGCGACAGTAGTCATGCAAGCGATGACTACTGTCGCTTCAACAAACTTTACCTAAATTACAACAAATGCCAAAAAATTACATTTACTTGGAAACGTTATCCTCTCAACTTTTCTTACAACTTTAACGGTACTGCTATCCGGTCCACAGATAAAGTTAAATATCTTGGCATCATATTGGATTCCCAATTGCGATTACACCATCATATTGAATTTGTGTTAAAGAAATCTTTACGTAACTTGGGGTTTGTTATCAGAGTCAGTAAGAATTTCACGAGTCAAGACAAATCGTACTGTCATGTTCTTCACCCGTCTCTCATTTAACATATACCTCATATCCTCTTCGTCCTCTACAAAAACTGTTTGATCGTCCACGAACAGCATGGTATGTATGTGGTTGTCTCCTACCCGTATTCCCATCGGGTTGCATTTCCTTTTCCAATGTTTTGAAGTAAATACATACAGATCTTGAATATTAAGTATTATATAAGTAGCATTTCATTATCTATAAAATAAAATGTTTAAAAATGTTATTCTCTTCTTCTTCATCTTTGCGCGACTAAGATTGACTAGTTGCTATACACAGTGTGTTAATTAATTATCGTATCTGACGTTATCATTGCAAGTATGCAACCCATATCACAGTATTGGTATTACAATATACAAATCGCGTACAGAGCGGGTATAGTGTGATATTGGTTGCATATTTGCAATGATGACGTCAGGTACGATAATTAATTAACACACTGTAAGCCTGTTCTATAACTTACAATTAGACTAGAATTTACTCACCTAACCTTACCAATGAGGGGGACGGAAAAATGTTATTGTATGTTATTATCACAATGGTTCTAAAACTAACAGTTTCTTATTGTTTATAAATTACTAATTGAAAAAGATTAACCTTAAATATATTCTTGATATATTCATATTTTCATAATCAAGTAAAATTCCCAAAACCACCATCGTAGATTCCAATCATCCCAACTACTATAGCGCCATCTATCCAATCATCCCAAAACTAATTTTAACATCACTGATTTGTGTAAACAACTGCTTTGTTTATTTAGTACTCTTATAGGTATTCATTATTTATTTCGTTTTTATCACAGCCATTTTAGTATTATTTATAAAATTATTAAAATAATTTCCATCAGCGGCATCTATTGCCAAATGTCACAACTTTAGTATTATGACAACAATCAACAAACTTAACCTCTAAAAATTAATGTTTTTAATTTCAAATTGAACAATTTAATAATATAATTAAAATGGATTCAGTAAATGCACGTTTAATATCAACTTTAGCTCATAAACTGGGATTAGATGAACAAACAACAACGTAACTAAAACTTTTAATGATCATAAAACATAACCTTTAAAAACAATTTTTATTTTATTTTTTTAGAAAAGGCCAAGAATATTTACGAGTTTACCAAAATAAATCATCATCGCTGCGTTTGAATATTCCTGATTCTACAAAAGCTGTAATTTGTTTAGATTTAGCTTCAAAATTATCCGGAGTTGCCTTCGATCAACAAGTTGCTTTACAACTCTCTGGGTTAAAACAACGCGTTTATTCGGCTCATTTAAATACAATCGAGAAGTTTTTAGATTTAGATAAGCCGGTAACCATCTCTGAAGTATGCGTCCAACTTAGTTGTACAGAATTAAAAGATTTCTCTGAAAATATTTTAGAAAAATATAAAGATAATTTTCCTCATGCTGATATTTCTCATCCTCAATATGTAGCTATTGCTATTTGGAGTGCATCTAAGTAAGATAACTTTTTGGGTAATATTTGATTACATATTTAGATTTTTGTTTTATTTTAAGAACAAAAAATGTAAAGATCTCAAAACAAAGCGTAATTGGTATTAGTCGATTAAAAATGGGACAATTTAAGGAATTAGAGCAGAAGTTTAACACATTTTTGGCACAAACTAAAATTGCTGGGGGTGAGAGGGTGAAGAAACAAGCAGAGAAGGGTTTGGTGCAGAGCATTGAGAATTTTGCTAAAAATAAAGGTAAATTTGGATTAATTTTGTTTTAAATTATATTCTTTTATGACTTTTTCAAGTAGAAAATGAGTTAAAATCGAAAGGAAGTGGGGATAAAGATGAAGAAATTGAAGAAGATTATGAAGTTTGGAAGGAGAGAATTTTAAAGGAAGCTTATAAACAATTAAAAAATAAGAATGATTAATTAAGGTAACAAAAAAATTTGTTTGTATTTTTATAATCATTGTGGTTTTATTTTTGATGAAACCTGACCTAAAATTTTAATCCTAACAATTACATAGATCTGCAAAAACAAGGGGTGTTGATTGTTGTTGAATGCCTGATGATCATTTCCAAAGTAATTTCCTGCATGGAATCAGAATATGAGCTCAGCATTAGACCAGCACATCAGGATTTTGAGATATTTGTTGGCTATTTTTGCTGTATTACAATATTATTTTGCTGTATTCCATCTATTTCATCATATATTTCCTTTCCATTCAAAATGCACTCTCGAATGATAATGTACGATTTTTGCATTATAAGTTATGGCCACTTTAAAATGACGTAATGAGTTGGAACCCAGCATATTGATCAGATGCGGGGGACACGCCAGTCCGAATTTGTATTGTATTTAACTTTTATTGAATTTCTTTTGCTTGTGTTCCATAGATCTTGTGCCAAATCGCCTTTTGTGATGAGCATGGCTTATCACTAGCGCAACCAACAATATGCTGCAAAACTGTTAGTTTAACCCCTTGCATACCATGTAACCTATACATGCTATGTGTAGTATAAGGCAGTCTGGTATGCAGGCGGTTAAGCGCTTAAAAAATGTTCTTAGCTTGTGTCACTACATTAATGTATGTAAAAAGCAGCAAACCAGATGTTTCCAATGTTTTTATTGATGCGCTAAGGAAGCCATAATTTGATGCAATGAAAATCAAATCTGATTTTATTGTATTGTCATATTTTTGGTATTGTTTGAAAGAGCTTAAAATGCTCTTTTAAGATATTTTCAGTAAGACCGTTTGGTTTAAAACAAATAAGCTACAGTAGAAACCACGAGGGCTGGCAGTGACTTGACGTTTAAAAATGGTATGAACCAAGATATGGACATACGACTTAGATTATTTCACCACATACGTTTAAATGTATGTTAGATTAGTAATAGAGGTTATATGTCAAACATTGCCAAATTTAAGAGAGGATGATCAGCGAAAAATCGTTAATATTAATTTATAATAAAATTTATGTAATTATTAATTTATTTAACAAATACTTTAAAAGGTTATTTACAGGTCGCAAGGGATTAAGTAAGTTTTATTTAAACAGTGGTTCATAATTTATTAATTAATTATTAATTTATTTCATTTTCGGCTTGTGAAAACACTAACAGATTCATGACAATGCTCACAAGACGTTTCGATTTGAGGTTATAATTATAGAGTTACATCCCTTAGAAGAACAGATGCAAGGTCTATAGAACATAAGGTTACCCAATTCCCTATGCCTCTGTAGGCTCTGTAGTATCGATTATTACCCCGCAGAATGACGTCACTGGTTCGATACAGTCAGAGTAGAGTTGAGTAAAAGATAGCCTATACTGTGGTACAGTCTATATAAAATATTTAAACCTCGCATCGTGTTGTGTTGTTCATAGAACCAGCTACGTCACTGACCCACCTTGCCCCTCAGAGGAGGAGAATCGACATTGGGTAACCTTATGTTCTATAGACCTTGGAACAGACGTACTTTTTCGACGTGGCTATTTGAATTGTACAGCAGACATACTAAACTAATGCTATCTCTTTCTAACACACATTACTCTCTAGCGGTTTGTGAATTTTAATTTACTACGTATGGCATTTGTAAGAGCGGAAAACGATGATTTACTGCCAGCTCTCGTGGCGTCTACTATAGACGGCGTTATCTGCAGTGATTACATATTTTTGTGATTTTTGAAAAAAAGTTAAATGGAAAGGTACTATTTACTTCACAGACCCTTTATTATTAGTATTGCTGCCGGGCTGGGGAGAGCGGCCACTCTCGTTACCGCGACCTATAAAATCTATTGTAAGTTTAGCCCTCCAAAGGTTTAGGGCAAATGTAGGTCCTTGATGAACCTTAGTATTATCCTGAGGTCTTGAAGCTTTATGTCGGTAGGTAACAGGGGAGTTCTACCTAAAATGTTGTGTCTTAGACAGCCTCTGGCGACGCAATTGCACAGTATATGTTTAGCAGTTTCTGACTGGTCGTTGCAAAGTCGACAAGTTTGATCCTCAGCTTGTCCAGTGTCCATCAATCTTACATACCTGATATTCACGCACATATTGGGATTATTTAGTACAACATCGTTCAATATCGCATTTTGAAGGGCAAAGATAGTACTGAATGATGTAATAGATAGTATAGGCCAAAAAATATTGCGCGTCCCGCACATAACTTCAAAGGCAGTCAAAGAAAAAAACATTTTTCTTGCACATAACCTCAGATATCTCAAAACCTTGACATGATGGTCCAATTCCGACCTCTGATTATGATTCTACGCAGAAAATTACTTCAGATATGACTCTCAGCTGACCGACAACAAAACATTGCAGATCTGTGGTACTTTCATTTTCAATTCTACATTATATCCAAAATTTGTGAACTTGGTTGAAACAATTTGTGAATGGTTCTATTTTTAGTTATCTTGGAGAGAGGAAGAGCATTATGCTAATGAGTATCCAAAGATATGAAGGAAACGTATATGTGGATTTATATCAATCATTCTTCAAATTAACCTGCTCAGAAACAACAATCTCCATCAGTGCATAGGCTAAATAGTTATACTGATATCATGATGTTTTGCACTTGAACCTGTTGGCTACTGATGGTGGTTAAACTAAGCATCCTAAAATATAATGTCAGGAGAGCATTTAATGAACCTTAAAATACTGATAATATAGGTTGAATATTTTATTGAGGCAATGTGCCTTAGATAGCCACTTGACTTCAGGGTTTAATAATGGACACTCATGTTCATCATACTTTCATGGAAAATTTCCGAAAAATTCGTCATTGTTAGATGTGTTTATATCAGACGTGTCACAAGTCATTTTTGAAAAGGCTTAAATTATAAGTCTTAAGTTTTTGCTAAACTAAAATTGACTTAAATCTTAAGTCTTTTTAACTGGAACCTAAATGATTTAAGTTTTAAGTCTTTATCAAAATAATTTAAATTATTTTTATTCACATTGCTACACTTAATTATTGGCACAGCAACCGCGCTTGTAGAACTCGATATAAAAAAATCATCCTCGAATTTATTTTTCAAATACATATTCTGCTTATTTAAATTTTTCGCAACAGGATTAGGTGCCAGTTTCGATATTGCCTTCATGACAATTTGTTTTTGAATCGTTCATACTTACTGAGGTTATATTTCTGTGTCCTTAAAATCATATAACCACCGAAATTTAAATTTTGGATGGGTGGTGGAAGCAATTAAAGCAAATCGAGATAGATTTGAAATTTTTAGATAACGTGCAATTTTAATTTCTAACTTATTGTTAGACAAGTTTCTATTGCTGAACTTAGGTATTTAAATTGTTGATAAATAGAGAATATCGTCATTATTGTCAATATCTACAGTTATGGGTATTGTTGGTTCTATTAATTCATCTTAATCACCGTTCTCATTCAAGACATGTGACCAGATAATTTCCCGTTCCGAGTTTATTCCAAATTCTTTTACGGTTTTTAAGAAGCTAGAACCATTATCTGCAATAGTTTCCACTATTTTGCTTTCAGATATTCGAATTGTTTATATCGTACACTATCTCCGCAATTTTATCAAATGAGTGAGTACTACTGAAACGTTTTCATGCCACTGCAAGTGATTTTCGGTGTAAAGTTTGTTCATCTACCCAATGATAAATAACACCAAGAAAACTCCTGTTTTAGACGACCAGATGTCAACAGTTATGCAGACAAATGGCACATTCTCTAGAGAAACTTTTATGTCACGAAGAGTCTTACCAGTTAACACAGATATTTTCCTCATCGCAATATTTGTGGACATAACTTGTAGGTTAAGACCATCAAAAATTTGAATAAAATTTCGATTACTAATAACAAACTGTAGTCATTGTATTAACAAGAAATTTTTGCCTGGGCTATACTGAGCTGTTTTTATATTTACCAGCTTTGGCACATTTTCAGGCATATTTCTATTAGTGCCTGTGCCCATGTTCTCTTTAGTTTTATATTATAACTTATTAATAAATACTTGATTGCATTTTTATTAGAAGTTATTGTTAATACTTTTCATTATAAGAAGCCGCCGTTAAAGAATACAGTTCTTGAAGTTATAAAGCTAATCTATAATGATTTGAAATTAACAAATTTTTTAGAATGATGTCTAGGAGCAGATACTCAAAAGAACAACAAGTCACTAAATTCGCTTATTTGGAGATTTGCTCCAAAACACGTGCTGCTATCAAACTGGAACATTTTGGTATCAAAACCACCTATAGAAGTTGCAATCTTTTTAGCAATTTGTTAACGAAGGTTTTTCACCAATTTTATCCATCATGAATACAATGGGCCTTACAATCGAAAGTCAAGCCAAGCCGCATCTTTTACTTCTAGTCTAAATGAGAAACGCATCAATTGATCTGAGCAACGTGTGTCTGATGCTGCTAAAAACGCCAAAATTTCCGGAAAAACTCAGCAAGATTTCGTTGAAGAACAGGGAATACTCTATGGACCAGACATGGCAGAATACTAGTGGCAATGATCTTGATCTATCATTTAGCTATGCCGTTAAGATTGCACTTCACACACAATTTTTGGAGATATGTGTCTACAGCCTAAACTAGAATTCTATTAAAATTCTCACATTTGTAAAAATTTCTTCCAAACAGCAAACAAGAGCATGGTGAAAATTGAAATTTATATTTCAAGTGATTGCAATTTCAAAACTTTATCATATTAGTAGCTCTAAACCTAGGATTTAAAATTCGGTTGTGTTGTTTCAGATTATCTACAGAGACGCAAATGTGTCAATCACAGAAACCGGGTTTTGTTTTGCAACTCAGATTTAAGCTTTGTTGTACCGTTTTAATTCCAATATCTAGTAACAAATGGTCTTTTGTTCTGTAATTTAAATGTTTTTCTTTCTAAAAACAAGAAAAGAAAACGTTGTGAAGCATTATCTTTCACATTAGAATACCACCTTAATACTGGTAGAATTAACGTCTAGTACCGAATAATATTTATTATTTTACTTTGGATATGTGAGGATATTTGTGTGTGTTACCCACAGTTACATTTATTTGCTAGAACCAGTCTCCTTTATACTTCCTCTTCCATGTTATTGTTCTTGTTTATGAGCTATTCCACATACACGAAGTCCACATTCTCAAAGTTGTGTTGATCTACTATAACATTTTGATTTATTCTCCTATCTATTGCCACCAAGTATGTTGTTTTTGCTTCATGCATTATAAGACCCATCTCTGCTGCCTTCCCCGTTACACTTCTGAAGACTTGCTTCATCGGCGCAATGATTCTGCCTATTATGTCAATATCATCTGCGTATCCCAGAATTTGGACTGATTTAGAAACCCGCTTGGTAGTTCCATAATATCCTCTCTCGGCGAATGGCTTTATTCTTTCTCCAAGTATCATCGTGTGCACTTCATAAGTTACGTTGAGCAATGTAATGGTAAATTACCCCTATGATGATTTCTCTAGCCAATTAAATCAGTTCGGCCGTTATCTCGTCTGAACCTATAAGCTTCTTATTTTTTTGTTTATTTTATTGCAACATTGATATCCTCGAATGATGGTTCTTCTTCCTATGATACCTTTGGGATGTTTGTAATTTCCTCTATCCACCTTTTATATAGTGACTATTCGGAGTGTTCCCTCCATCTCTCTGTATTTTACTTTTCACATCATACTTCTGGACTTAAGTTCTTTAGGTTCACCTTTTGGTAAATTTTCTGACATAATCATTTCTCAATTTCTTGGATTTTTTTGTTCGAATATTCCTTCTTTCTCTTTCCATGTATTTTCTTTTCTTGTTGCCTTCTTTCTCTAAAGAGTGTATCCAGTCTTCTTGGTCTCTCTCTTTTTTAAAGCTTTACATTTACTTCGTTCTTTGCATTGCTTGCGTCATTTCAAAATCGCCGTTCTGCTTTGTTGACGGTTGATTTTATTTTTTCCCACCTCTGGTCAATGCGGAGTTCTGGTGTGATATGTTCGCGTTCTAAATGTTACTCGTTATTTTTCTTACGTGGATATCCAGCTTCCTCTTTCAGTCTCTTGGACTCTGGCACCAAATATGTTGGAGCTGTGCCTCGTGTCTATGAGACAGTGATCGATTTTGTTGAACGTCAGACCGTTGTATATTTATTTGTGTTTATGCATGGCATTGGCTAATAACATATTGACCTTATAAGAAGAATGTGTGTGTTTCCATCATCACTGAGTTCACCTTGATTTCGTTTTCTCATCTGTAAATTGTTGGCAACATAGTCTTGAATTAATCTCTTGCAACCCTATGGCCAGTTGTCTTGCTTTGTTCATTACCACAAATCCTGTTCCCTACTCATGCTACTTTTTAATGGCAGCTACAATATCATAGTCGCTTTTATTATTCCATTATTCGGCTATCTCATCTCCTGTTACATCCGGCTCGTATTGTTTTAATGTATCCAAAAGTATACTCATGACGCCTGTTCTATACAGTGACCGAACATTCCACGTGCAGATGCACCTAATTGTAGCTGCCATCACATTCATTTATATATTTTTCCTCAATAATTGCAAGGATGGTTGTAGGACAGAATAACCAGAAAGGTCACTACCTGGGGTATCCTGTCAAAACTGATTTTTCTGCTTCTGTTCTTTCATGATTTAGAGGATAAAAATAAACACATCTGAGTTGCTACTTAGACAAAATGGTAACCTATGTTATTTATTACGGCAAAATATGGTTTCAAAGTACAAGTTGTATTTGATGAAACCTGTTTTTGATCTCCAAACCAGTGAAAAATACACTAAGAACAAAAATCTAAAAGAAATTCTATTAAAAAACCTAATTAATTTTAGTTTAATCCGTTCAACTTTTGAATTAAATCAAGTTTGAATTGAAATGGCGTGCAAATATAGTTGTCTATATTTCTGCGTAAAAATGTAATTTTTTTTCACAATTTTTAAACTATCATCAATTTTTAGCTCAAAACTTCTTTTAAAAAAATCTAATTTTTGATTATTTCTTTACGAATTTTTTTTCATATCAGTATAGAAATTGTTACGTGATTTAAGTTAAATATCTTAAAGCTGTAAATATAGTTATCTACGCTCCATAACAAAATTTCTTATATATAACTTTAAAAATTATGTATGAATACTAATATTTTATTCACTATTAACTTTTTTTTAAATATATTTATTTATAATTTTTGATATTTCTATAAAAATTTTATTTTTATATTTGATTTAAATCGCGATTTATTCCGGTTGGTCGTTCCGTACACGTGTTCGCTGTTGTTTTATCTTGAACTTTTTGCCCTTATTCAACACAGTATTATTCCAAAGACTATTCGCTCTCGCGCTTTGGTTTGATCGAAGAGACAAACGTCAATTTTTTTTCGAATTAATCATTAAACATCACAATGACATCCTCAAAAAAATAGTCTTAGTTTTTTTTATTGGTAACCCGTATAATTTTTGAAGTGGAAACTATTCAATCAAAATTTCACATTTACACATACATATGTTTCATTTTTCTTTAAAATCGTTTTTTTAACATCATTTTGGTAATATTGGTGAGTTGCAAATTGGTGAGTTATTATTTTTTCTTATTCTCCTTTGTGTTTGTGTTAAGTTTTTTTTTGCGCTAGGTTATTTGTATGGTGGAGGGAGTTAATATCTTTTTTATGGATGAGAAAGAATCAAGTTCAATTAGTTATTCAATTAAATGAAAGTTGGATTAGATTAAAATATTTTTATTGGGAGTGTTTCAGAATGTTACTTACTTTTTTTGCGTTTTTCTATTTAAATGAAGTAAAAAGAATAGAAAGGAAGGGAAAGGATTTTATTTTAATTATATTTTTTTTAAATTAATGATATTGAAATTCTTTTAATTATTTAAATAGAGTTTGTTGGCTGCCAAGACTAGATTAATTTTAAAACCAACTTGGAACTAGTTTTATTTTTAATACTATATAGAATCAACCCACATTGTTATATTAATTTACTATACTTTTAATTTATCTCTTACTCATATACTCTCTATAATAAATAGCAAACAAAAATATTTTGGTTATCCTGCTTCTAATAAATTGTTCCAATTCGGTACCGTTAATTTCAAGATTAGATAGAACGTTGTATTGTTAGCAAATTATTAAACGTGCTGGATTCATTAACAAAATATTTAGTTTTACTAAATCTTAGCCTTTTTATGAGGTTCCAAACGTCGCAAGGAATTAGTTTAAATTGCTGATCCCATTTTATTGAAAGGCAAAATTGATTCCAATAGGTGTTCAGAAATAATACATCGAATGAAGGATTGTGGCTCTATCAGATACCTCACTTAACAAAGTAATCGTCGCTGAACATGCTGGAGGACGTTAGAAGGATCGTAACATTTTTGAATTTCTTTATGAACAGAACAAATTACCTTAGAGATTTAAGAGCATGGTTATTGGAGTTCACAAAAGCAACATTAACAATGTTATCTGTTAGTTTTAGCATTATGAGAAGTTCATATAGGAGTCAAATGGAATGCAAGTGTCAGGAACATAATCCGTATTTTGAAAATTACCCATGGACTTCCTAAGCTTATTAATTTCACCATTCACTATTTTGCAATAAACAGCAGAATCAAAAAGAAATATAATGAGCTCAATAAATCTTTCTTGGGTGATACACGCATGAATTTAAATCAGGATTCACTGACTTATATCCTTTCTATTACCAAATACAGCAGGATGTAGAAGGAATAGGAGACCACGTGCAAGGAGGCAATATCAAGCATAATCATAATTATCGCATACCTACACTATGTTTTATTGCTTTTATAGCAGCTCAAACTTAACAAAATGTTGACAGTACTTTTTTGTAGCTTAAAAATGTGTTTTATGTCACTACCAATTTTCCAAGCAACTATATCATTAGCAGCTACGCTCGATATTATATATAATTTTTGCAAACAAAAAAATAGTGTCATAATAAAACTAATTTTTGGAAGATTTAATAAGTTATTTGAAATGTTTTCTAGTCGTTTTGCATAACTGTACATGAGGACACTTCCATGATCACTACAAGAAATTACAGAAAACGATGAACCACCTCGGTACATACACTGCATGTGCCGTAAATCAAGTGAAATAAACATTCAGAACAAAATGAATATCTAAGGGAGGGAAAATCATTACTGCTACTTAAATATCGTCGCAAAATTGGACAATTTGTAAAGTAAATTCGAACAAAATCCTCGCAATATCTCTCATTACACGCCCAAGCAGACTGGTTTACATTGCGTTACCTCATTTTGTAAGTAAAATGAGCTGTTATTATTTGCAATCTAAATTTGATTTAGCACAGCATCCATTTTAAGTAGTGAATGTTTGGAATATGGATGATCTAATTTCCCAACAATGACTAGAGAAGAGATTTGTAGCTTAACAATGAGCGACTATTACTTCAACAAGCAGAATTTGCAAAATACATGGATGTACACAATTAATCTTTCCATAACGGTATTTGTATTTGACTTTACTATCATTTTTGCCACATTACACTGAATGTCTCGGTTTATGGTGTCAAGAAAAATTACTACAAATCACAATGTAATGCGTCGCAAAAAATCAATGAGTTTCACAGAACTTTCTAACGGCATAAGATTTTGCCACATTACAGTCACTGAATATCTCGGTTTATGGCGTCAAGAAAGCTTATTATAAATCACAATGCAATGCGTGGCGAAAAATCAACGGCACAAGACATTAAGCTCGATTTTTTGCTACAAGCATTATCTCATAAACTCCAAACATTTTTGCAAATTCAAGATTTATGCAAGCTTTATACGGATGTTCCCAAAGTTAAAGTTAGTTTAAGGATTTGTTGATAAAGGCTTGTTGTATACTGTCAGGGTTCATGTCTGACCAACAGTCAGTACATTTTCTTGTACTTAAGTCTGAGTTCTTCATATTTTTTCTTGGCATGTGGTCTCCTCCTGAGCTTAGCACCTAGAGTCATAGCAAGATTAGCTGTATTTTTGTAGGGAACTATTTGTTGATGGCTTGTGTTCAATCCGTTTATTAGTAAAACATTTTCATCAAAAGTGAGCAAGTCTGCTGTGTATACGAGGTCCCAATACAAAAATTATCTTCTTTCATCCTAAAATAGCGTTAATACGATTCTAAAATTTTTGAATATTGCACAAAGTTCCAAATCATACTTTGTCTAAGATTTGCAAAATATCGTTGAGCTACTTTTCTTCTAGTAACCTTTCTATGGTATAAATAATTCTGTGAATCACCCTGTTAATTTCATCACCCTTCGCCCCTCTATTTTCTGATATCAATTCAATAGCTTTTCTTTAAGATAGTTATTGCCTTTTAGATTTCTTCTCATTTGTGGGGTGTTTTCACCTCAGAACCCAATAGCTCTTTGGTCTTCAGTGGGACTGCCAGAGTTTTTCTAAGATTATTTTGAAGGTCGGTGAGTGATCTGAGGTTGGCTGAAGATTGTCTACGATTTACATAAATTACTTGACATATGCTTGATGATGTAGAAATCAATATCTTTGTAATTCTCTATCTTTGCTGGTGGTTAGGCCCGATCCCCAATGTCTGTGTTTTGCATTACGATAAATCGATTACCTACGGCTTGAAAGAACTGTTCTTTGTACTAGTGCTAGTTATACTACCATTTTCAATTTAGATAATTAGCTCTATCGTAGCTATGGAGGCAAAAATAAACTTTTTTGAGGACTACTCAAATGAGAACTCTAAGAGCTATAACCTTTAGCATTGTGAGAATATTTTTAAATGAGCCAAAAAGCGTAGAAAGGGATTGGACCATAGAAAAACCGGATATTGGGCATTCCCTTCTGCCGGAAATCCGGTTCCGGCATATCTATCCGGCCATTATGGTTATAATTTCTGGTGCATTTTTGAAGTGATACCCTATATTGCCACATTATTGCGATATTTGAATAAAAATGAAATTAATAAGAAAGCTTGGCAAAGCCTGGAATATCCGGCCAAAGACGGATATTTGGTAACTATCCGGTATCCGGCCGGATTTTAAAAAATGACTGGATAAACCGGATACCGGATAGTTACCAGATATCCGTTCTACTACTAATATTGACAGAATAACCGAGGAATGGTTGGTGAAAATTGCGAAGGAAAATTCATCTCCGGGAAGACCACTAGAGCGCTGGAAGGAAAACTAAATATTTATGTCTTGTCAAATCTTAGATATTTAATTCCAGACATTGTACAAACATAACCTTGTTAGGTTGTATCTATTCAAACTTACAATTTTATAAATGTAATATAGTGTGAGATTATGTACAGGGTGCATAATTCCGAAGGGTGCTCCGAAACTAAAAGAGATAGAAAGAAAGTAGTTTACATGTCATGATCTCGTTTTTCGAGAAAATGCTAATGCCGAAAACTCCGATCAGCTCTCGTGTTTTGTTTTCGCTCTATCGACAAAAACTGAAAAATTTGCAAAAACGACAATCGTGAATATCTCACTTATCATTAAAGATAGAGTAGTATAAATAAAACGTTATACGAAGAATTCAGTGGAGTAGGTAGAATTTTTTTCCCATCTTTTATTTTCGAGATTTTTGAAGTAACTAAGTTACTAGTCATTTTCAATATGACATAACACCAGCACATAATGCCAAAGTTGTTAGTAAATTTTTAAATACTACTACAAACTTTTGCAATAATTGGAAACAATGTTTTCCATCATGGTATGGTTATCACCATAACAACATTAAATTTTAAATACATAGAATAGTTTTAGAAAGAACAAAAAAAATTGATACATTATGTTCCATCATAGTATGTATGGTTATCACTATAGCAACATTAACTTTTAAATACATACATTAGTTTTAGATAGAACAAAATGAATTTTTGTTAATTATTCAATAGCTATAAGAAATATACCCCACAAACTATATATATTTGTTATCAGAATTTATAACAAATATATTATAAAGTTATAAAGAGTTAAGTATTTTAGAAGTTGAGTATTCAGTATTTGAGTTGTGTTTATAACTCAAAAACCGTGATGACTAGAAAAATTCTACGTGCACCATTGGATTCCACGTGAAAAAATCTACTAGAACCCGTTTTTACTTTTTTACTAAATTTCCGGATAGCCGAGATACAGAAGGTGTCTGAAAATCGTAAATTTCAAACACTCCCTGTATATTAAAAACGAAAAGGGCTATGAAAATTTGGTTTGCGCCATTGTAAGTTTCACAAAAAAGTAGCTCAGGTTCCCAAAAGCCACAACTTTCTATCTTTCATAATAACTGAGATACTCTGCAAACCCATCGAAATTTGGACACCCTGTAAAGGTGTCTCACGTAAGCGGTAAAGTAGAGAAATGGCATTAAGGAACCAATACATATTTCTTCCTTAGAGAAAAGTTGTAGGAAATTTACCACACTATAAACGAAAAATATGTTTATAAATACAGCGTGTTCCATAAGGACGTACCGAAATAAACATATATTATGTTATTTAAAATGGAATGATATTACGTATTCCGATTCTACATATAAAAATATATTAACTGTGATAAGATATATTATGTTGATACCTAGTGCTTTTAGTTAAGGAGTTATTTTAATTAGAAACATTTTTTAGCTTTTTTTTAGATTACATTTTAATCTGAATTACTCATCGAGCAGTCGAGCTAGAAAGTTAAAAATTGGTGGTGTTTCTCCTTGGATATCCTAAAATCGAGCGACATTGGTTATATCGGTCTATCTTATACAGGATGTTCACAAATGTAACTACCGTTTTACCATATTCATTTGCAAAAAAATCGAAAATTTTGAATGGATCACTTTTGTTTACCTTATCAGATAGAGAATTTAATTCTCTACAAATCTTCTGTACATATCCCTATACCTATCAGTTGCAGTTTTTGAGATATTAATCAAAATCATGCATTTGACAGTCTTCAAGTGATGCATAACAAAAAAAATCAAATTTACAGAACATTTTTAGAAGAAGAGTAGCTAGAAGATGTAGATTTAAAAATTAGATAAAGAATGATAATTGTCGCTTATGTGGGACACCTGTATATTAAAAAAGATTATTGTTATTATTTAATTAAGAAATTAAAAATCATCTAGAAACAACATTTATTTTTAATATTTAATAATAATCAACCTATATTTCTTTTCTAATTATTTATCCTAATCTTATCTCAATAACAATACAAAAGAAACACTTAAAATAATCAAGTTTTTTTAAACTCAATTTTTTCCAACTCATCCTCTTATCTCCTGCCCAAAACAATTTTCAATTCAAAACTCCAAATATAAACATTAATAATTTTTAATTTAACTCTGCCCACAAAATCATCTTGGTGTATTCATCAAATAAATTAAAATCTTGTACGGATTCTTCGAGATTTATACTCGGATTCAACGTCCAACAGATTATTTCTCTTTTCCCGTTAGAAGGCGATTAAAAGTGTCATTCGATCTAGTTATTTCCGGTGATTTCTATCGATTTCATTATTATTACAAGTTCGTTTTCGAAATCTTATATGTGTGGCCATAACACACAAATACTTATGACGTATTGAAAAAAGAAACGAAATATATACTACGCAAAGATAAGAAATGGGTCTCTATTTAAGTGGCCGTACAGTTCGTAACTTGTACAGTCACTCCTTCATGAATGGACTTGTTTTATTGTAAGCCATTATTGATATATAACAACAAAAGTAACTTACCTACATTAAAATTTGTTTTAATTTGTAAGTATTAATTTAATAGAGTGTATGTGTTGAGTTGTAACTTGCTTATCTTAGAATGTTTGTTGAGAGATTTCAAAACATGGTTTATTTAATTTTTTAATTTATTAATATTTGTAATTAATATTTAATAGTACTTTGTTTGATTTAATTATTTTCTTTGAAAGTTTTTCTTCAAATTAAATCAAAGATTAAAGAGAACAGTTTTTTTTTATCACAATTTGGCTTTTGACTTTTAATATTCCATACAACTCCGTACAATGGTCAATTATTTTTTTTTAAGATAACCAGTAATCTTTATCGAACATACTTAAAAAAAATTAAATACCATAATAAAGAAATCAAATTCTAAACTAATAATTTAAGATGAGACTGAATCAAAAATTGAGTTCAAATCTTAAATTTTCTAGCTTATATATATGTAGTTTTATCTCCCCCACCAATAAAAACTAATCTTAATTTGTAAACAATTTTTGTTGAATTAATTATAATTTATTTACTTTTTTTGTTGCAGAATTGAAAATATTTCTGGGTTTAAAAATGAATTCGAATGTAATTCGTAGGTAAGCAATCTTTTTTATACATTATTTTGAATTCATCATGATTTTGAGCCGTTTTGTGATAAATTACGGATGTAGAGAAACCGTGTGTGACCTTTTTATAAGATAAACTCGGGGGCTCGACCATATACTCATTTTTATTACTCCTAAATACATTTGTTTATTAAGTTCTCTTATCACGTTCTAAAATTAAATCGAGTAAATACTCTTTAATAACTTTATTGATTTTTATAGATGATGCAATAAGTTTTATTGTTTCTTTTAACTTTATTTTTAAATATCAAATTTTTTTTTAATTCTAAAATGTGTAAATTACCACATTTATTAATAGCACGTTTGGTATCACGTTTTCTAACCAGGCATTGTGTAACAAGATTGATGTCGACTTTCATTGCCACAACGATTAATGCAAAAATGTAATTTGATCGTTAATAATCGATTTCTTACAATTGGAAAGAGAAAGATTGTTTGGTGGAAAATTAGAAATGATAAGATTTTTCTAAATCAATCTGTTTTATAAATTTAACCTCAAGAAGCTTTTGTACGTTTCTGACTTGGTATCAATAATGAAAAATCATTCAAGAATTGTAAAGTTATCTTTATTAATTAAGACTTCTAGAAAAAAAAACGTAACCAGCAAATGTGAAAAGACCTAAAATAGATCAACATTGATGTTCATGTATGTCTTAACGCTTCTATGTCAATGTATAGAATGACAACAATATGGATCAAATTTTTTATAGTACCTACTTAACTATACAGATAGGCTTAATTATGATCAGCCCATAATTAATAGTTTCTTTGATCGCATATCGAGTTGGGAGCATCTACAGAATAACCAGTACATTTATTTCCTGTTGAGTAATCTGCTGAACTTTCTGTCTAACATAATGCTTTCAATTCAACTTGCCATAAAGGTAGAGAATGAGATAATTTGTTGTGTAGTTCAAATATCTATATTCCTTGTACCTCATGTTATTTATCATTACCATATATGCTATCTTAACCATATTGATATTCAGTTTCTTGAATATAAATACTCAATATCATCCTTTTCATTTGCAACAATAATTTCGAAATTGGTGAAACCAGTTTCATAATTATTTCTGGCTGATAAATCTGTATATTGTTCTTCGATTGAAATACATTAAGTAGATCTTGAGCAAATAATTCAGATTTTTCTGACTTTTTTTTGCTGCAGGGGTAGCCTGCCCAAAATTGGCCACTCTTTGCCAATTTTGGGCATCATTTTGTATAATCATTATGCATAAATCACATCATTTTTCGGAACATAATCTATTGCTTTCTTGGGTCATCTTCTCTCATTCGCATGACATGTCCATACCATCTCAGTTTTCTGGTCTCTATTTTCTACACTGTAGTGTAGATCTATTTAGGTCTATTTGCGCGTTTTCTAATCTTTTCATTAAAGATATGTTTCCTTAACACTTCTTTATATCATCATTGTCTTCCTCTGTGTTTGCAATAATCACTTAATCATCAGCGAAAAACAAAGTAATTAGGCGTTGATCATCGATTTCTTTCTCTATTCCTGCGCATTTTTGTTTTTAGTTCTTCAGAGCTTCATCTAGGACCTACATTTCAAACAGACTTGGCAATAGGGAGGATGCTTGTCTTAATCCTTTCTTCACTTGGAATGGCTTAAAATTTTTTTTCTCAATTTTACTGCACTTATGGCATAGTTTCTTAATTATTGAATATTCTTAGTTAATATTATTCATGTCTTGCTGGAAGTCTTGCGGTATACCGAAACGGTTTTTAATATTAATTAACTATAACTTTTATCACCTCTTGAAGAAGAAGATGTATTAATATGAAGAAATTATTATAATAAAGTTTACAGTTTTCTCAAAAAAGTACCTTGCACACAAGTTCTGTTCTAGTGGATTCAAGCTTCTCTGTTCATGGGGAGGTCATGGACCATCAGTTTCTTGACTCAAGTATATCCCCGTCTCGTCCCCCCATCTCGCTCTCTTCCTTCACCTAGGTTTCGTTCCTTGCATTCATTTATTAAGAAGTTGCTACCCTGTCACGTTCTGCACATTGCAATCTTTGGATTTGTGGTGAATGTTGTACTCTGAGAGCACTGGTTCCTTGTAGTAGCTGTATACAACCCTTCTCAACCTTTTTTTCTTGAAGACGTATATGCTATTTTCCAGTTTCTGAGTTCGCGTCTACGTCTCATATCCATATGTCATTATGGATAGGATGGCTATTGCACGGTAAGCTTTGTTGGGCAGCAAAGTATTCTCCAGCTACTTTCTCCAGCTCTATTTCAAGATATACAAATTGTGTCACCACTCACGACTCTGCCGGAGTTAATCTGCATCATTATTTTTGTTTCCTCTATATTTGTTCTCAACCCCACCCACTTCACCACGTTCTTTATTTACCTGTAAGTTTCTTCTGCATCCCATCTTCTTCGACTTAAGATACTGTCATCCGCATAGGTCACTTATTTGTTTATATTATATTTAATTATATGATATTCGCTTCATATCCTCGATTACTATCTCGATGTCATTTTTTTTTTTGGATGAATCAGCAGACTTTTTCACTTAAAAGTCAGTAATATTCGATCTTGTTCTACTTTGAACGCTACTTCCAATTCTTTCAGGCCTAACTGCTTGCCAGGACTTGTCATGTCTATTCCGTCTCATTTCTTCTTGAAATAATGATGTCCAACTTTCCTGCCAGCTTTTGGGCGATCTTCCAACTGGACGCATGTATCCTCGTCTTTATGTTCTTGCTCATTTAACAACTCGTGTTGGGTTCGTCCTATCAACATGGTCCTTTCATTGCCGATTTCGCTCTTTCGTCCATATCACCACATTCTCCATTCCCACATTTTTCATTATGTCATTTTTTTGTAATGCCTTAAGGTTGCCATTTCTGTAGTTCTCATTATGGCTTTTGTGTGGGATGTCTCGAATTATCTTGTCCATTATAATAATAAGCGTTTTATTGTTTTTAAAATTTTTACAATTTTCCCTTTAATACATTCTACTATATATCCCCCCTTTCCACACCTTCGCCTCCTCGCCCCCATCACCTCCCTCACCCATCTTTTACCTTCTGCCTTTTTTTTTTACCTTTTACCTTTTACCAAAATCTGCTCCCTGTCCATTGCCTCCTCCCTTAGCTCACTACACCCTCTCAGCATGTGTTCCAGCGTCTCCCAATCCTCTCCACATCATCCGCCCAATACCTATTCCCCCTCTCTTCATTGCCACAGCGGAATCTGGCCACCAATCTCTTCCCTTCATCATCCTACTCCATCAACAAATATTTTGACAGTTCTTCTGTCACTATCTCCCCATACCTTTCATTGTATCTCCCTTCTCGTATCTGTGACCTTCTTTCCTGCCTCCATGTCCTATATCTATGTCCCTATCTCTCAGTTCTCTCCACATTTCACCTCTTTCCGCTCTTCTGTTTTCGATCCCAGTTAGTGAGTATCCCACTCTTCTATAATATTCTTCCCTGTCTCTTTGCCCATAGATCAGCCTGCTCTCCTTAATTTCCCTCCAGCACTCTCCCAGGATCCTGCAATGCGGTCTTCCTTCTATCATTTCCTCATTCACTGTTCTTCTCCCCGTCTCCACCCTTACTGCATCCACCTTAACCTCCTCCCTCAGTATATACCCTGGAGTCTCCCTTGCCAACCCTAGCACCCATCTTCAATATTATGTTTGTATATCTTCCAGCAAACCTTGTTCTCTCCATCCCGATACTTCTGCGCCGTACATCATTGTGCTCCTTACGAAGCCATCAAATATAACCTTTTTTTTTCCACGTCCCTCCCGAAAGTTCTTTCTCCCCATCCCCAAACTTGTCCCATCACCCTGTTCGCTCTTTTTGCCATCGCCCTCACGTGTGCCCAGACCTTATTAGTTTCCGCAAAACTATATCCCAGGTACGTGTACTTTTTCACTTTCTCTTCCCTGCCACCTCCATTCCTCCTTCCTTCTTCTCCCCCCTTTGCAGAACTTCATTATCTTTGTTTTCTCGACGTTTACCTCTAACCCCTTCGCCTTAAAATATCTTTCCAGGGACCTCATATCTCCTTCATCTCCACCGCCTCTCTAGCTACAACCACCAAATCGTTCGCATACGCCAAGGCGTGCATCTATATTCCTCCTATCACCACCCCACCCATTTGCCCCTTCGCAAGTCTCTTTTCCAAGTCCGCCGTATATATTGCAAATAGTGTGGGACTAAGCAGACACCCCTGTCTCAATCCCTTTGTCGTCCAGAATACCTTACGTAACTCTTCCCCCACTTTAAACTTGGCCATCGTCTCCTTGTACATCTCCTTGTACATCTCCTTCACCCTCATTTTCTCCCACAACTTCTCTCTATCCACGTTATCGAATGCAGCCTTCAGATCAATAAACAATCCATACAGCTTTCCCCCTTTCTTGTTTAACTCCCTATCTACCAGGTGTTTCAGAATGTATACACTGTCAATTGCCCCTCTTCCCTTCCTGAATCCCCCCTCTCCATTTCCTTTTCCAACCTCCCCAGCAGTATCTGTGCATAAATTTTGAGAGTTGTGTCCAACAGGGTGATCCCTCTAAAATTGCTCACCACCCTTTCACTCCCTTTTGTATACAGTGGGCATATTATCCCCATCCTCCACCTGTCTGGAAACCTCTTCCTCATCCATACGTCGTTTATTACCTTCCATAGTTTCTTCATCACCGTTTCCGTTACCTCCAAACATGCCTCATTCTGGATCTCATCCTCTCCTGGCGTCCTTCCCCTCTTCAGTCCCCTCAACACTGCCTCCATTTCTTCCAGCGTTATCTCTTCTGCTCCTTGCACCACTCGCTCTCCCTCTCCCAGTCTTCTCTCTTCCACCCCTCCCAACAATCCCATGAAGTAGTTTCTCCATTCAGTCATTTGTATATCTCTACTGACTTCCTCTCTTCCCTTCCTCATCCTCTTTCAACTCCTTAATCTTCTCAGCCTCCCTTTCCTTCAGCTCCCTTTTCTTTTTCTTGCATTCTTCTTTGTATTTTCTCCTGGCCTCTATATATCTATCTATCTTTACCTCCCCTCTCTGCCACTGTCTTAATTTCCTTCTGGCTTCTCTCTTGAGATCTCTGCATTCCCTATCCCACCATTCGTTTCTTCCCAGTCTAATCCCCTGTCGCCCAGTATCTTTCTTCAACGCCGCCTCCCTAACCACTTCAATTAGTTCATTCATCCCGTCGGCCCCCTCCACACTTTGACCCCAGCTTGCCAACTTTCCCCTATAATCTTCTATAGCCCTCTTTCGACCAATCTACCCTAATGTATTTTGCACCATGTTCCATTATCTTTCTGTTCCTTCTTCCCCTCGATCCCTTTATGCACACTTCTAGAGGCTGGTGATCCGACTCTACCAACGCTCCAACCCTAAATATTTCTATCCTCACCCACATAATCTATCAAGGACGCCCCCTTGCACCCATTATAAGGTTAAACGTTAATATCTCTGATATTTTTTTTCATCCAGCAAAGACTGCTGTACTCCCAGTTTGTTTAGTATTCTTAGATTCCGTTTCCATTCACACTAAGGCTTAAAACAGATTTTGTAGCTCCTTTTTTTTCTAGAATGGGTTGTTGGATGAACTTTTTTTTGCAGAGCTATTTCTTCCGTTTTTGTCACTCTTAGCAAGAGCGATCCTGTCTTTCACTGGGATTAGTTAGCGCAGTCTAATTAGTTTTGCAAAAAAATATATTAATTTGATTGAGTTAAGGTTGAAAGAATTTATGACATAAATTCTCATCACATTGTGTATTAAGTTTGACACACGATTAACTAAACAAAGGAGTAGTACAACACCCTAGGCAAATAATTTTAAAAGATGGCCTGTTTAGTCAAGTTTCCAAAATGGTAAAACACTTGCCATTTTTGTTGTCATAAAAAATATGATTGCCTGTTTTTCTGCAAAAAACACATTATTTAAAAAATTCATACTTTTGTATGTTATTTGTATTTACTTTTTATTTCCTCTTAACTTTGTTAGAACATGTGCCAGTCAATACCTACGAACTACAAAATGTGGTTTCAACAAGATGGTTGCCCTTATGTCTTGCAAAAAGACTCTTTCAAATAAGGTTAATCTAAAGACAAAATTAAACAAATTTATTTATTATTAATTTTATAGCATTATTTTCTTAAAACTAAGGCAAATGCTCAAATTATTTGCCGTCGGCACTAATACAAGCTCTGCATCGTCACAGAAAAGATCTTTTCTAGTTGTGCAAATGTCTTTGCATTTATTTCTTCTGCTGCTGTATAAATATTGTGGCTCAGTTCGGTAAGATTTTCAATCGGTTTTTAATACACTGTTTCTTTTATGCAATCCTAATAAGAAAATCAAAGTGATTTAGACCCAGAGAATGAGGAGGCCACGTAATCGAACCACGACGCCCAATCCATCTTTCTGGGTATTCTGTATGCAATCCCATACAGGACAAGCATAATGAGCTGGGCAACCATCTTGTTGAAACCACATTTCTCTGTAGATATTGAGTAGCACATCTTCTAACAAAATTGTTAAATCATTTTGGAGGAAATACAAATAATAATAATAATAATAATGCCTTTATTAATAGAAACAACAGAAAAAGAAAAAAGATTACAAATGTGCGCAGGGCGGAGTTAGGACCATAGTCCTCTCTACCACCCAACCCTGCGTTAAAAAAAAAAATCAAAAATTCAAAAAATAAAACATAAAACATTCGATCTTGACAATAATACTAATACCAACAAGACAGCCATTCAGAGAGAAAGTAATAAAAATAACACTCATAGTAAAAAAAATCGAAAATGATATAAATTACTCANGACATAAATTCTTTCAACCTTAACTTAATCAAACTAATACTTTTTTTTGCAAAACTAACGAGTACCTGTATATAGATTGGAACTCGGCCATATATTCGCTTTTAGAAGCTGACACCAGTGTTAAGCAACTTTTGAAAAATTTATGTTATATTTTCAAGTTTTAAATTTTTTCTAGAATATTCCAGTACTAATTTCTCGTTCTAAAATTAACTATTGAATCGTCAAGAAAAAGAAATATTGATTGAAACTTGTTTATGTCCCGGATAAAAATCATTATTGAAAAATCTATTTCAGTAAATATCTTGAACTTGTTTACATTTTGCAATCTTGTTTAAATAAAATTTCCGTTACACGCCAATATTTTTTTTTCCATCCAAAAATTATGGTTCTAACGAAAATAACAAAAATATCTAGGCTTATCGATTTCTCGAAACGTGCAATACAGATATTAAATAAATAAGGTGTGTACATAACACGTTGTCGTCACTTGACCTTCGATTGACGTCAAGAAGGGGCTCGTCTATGCGTCCAAACGCGATTGGACGTTTCTCGCAGGCGTGTTAGGTTGTTGCTAAGCTAAAAAGATTTGTGGGAATTTTACCACAATTTTATTTAATAAAAAATTCCGTTACTTATCGGCGAGTCTAATAAATAAACCAATATTATTCGCTTCAAATTTATCAATTTATTAAAAAATGTTGTTAAAAGATTCCATTGTTATTTCGCTTTTATTAGTTTTAATTTGAATAATAAAGTTGATGCGTCGAAGAATTTTATTGGTAATAATTGAAAAAAATTATTCTTACATTTTTATTTTTCGTTTAGAATTTTAGTCGACTTAGCTCGCTCTTATCCAAGTCAATATCATCAAGTCTACTTAAACACCCTTCAAAACCAACAAGTTCGCACCCTCACGGTCGTTCATGGACAAATTGATCAATTGCCACAAAAAGTCAAAGATTTCGTAGAGGAATGTGTAGAATTATGTTGTCCGGATAAGCTCCATATTTGCGATGGAAGCGAAGAGGAAAATAACAACTTAATTAAAGTGCTTGCCGATAAAGGAGTCATCAATCAAGTCACTAAATTAGAAAATTGGTAAAAAAAAAATTAAATAAAAATACATTTTTTAACCAATCCTTTTTTAGTTGGTTAGCGAGGACTAATCCAAAAGATACAGCTCGAGTTGAAGCAAAAACGTTTATTTGTACCGAGGAAAAACACGATGCAGTCCCAAGATCTAAACCGGGTGTACAATCAAAATTAGGACACTGGTTATCCCCTGATGACATGGATAAAGCCGTTGCAGAACTCTTTACGGGTTGTATGAAAGGAAGAACCATGTTTTTGCTTCCATACTCAATGGGGCCGATTGGTTCCCCCTTATCAAAAATAGGGATCCAATTAACCGATTCGGAATACGTCGTTTTATCAATGAGGATAATGACGAGAATGGGTCAAGCGGTTATGAAACACTTAGGTAACAACGATTTTGTAAAATGCCTCCATTCAGTTGGCACCCCAAAAAGTGGAAGGCACGAAAATCCTTTATGGCCTTGCGATCCCGAGCGTACCATGATCATGCATCGCCCAGATTGCAATGAAATCGTTTCTTATGGAAGTGGATATGGGGGAAATTCATTGCTGGGAAAGAAATGTTTTGCTTTAAGAATTGGGTCAACTATCGCTAAAAGAGAAGGATGGCTAGCTGAGCATATGCTGGTAATTTTGTTGTATTAATCCAAAGATAATTATCATAAATTTTTTTCTTTAGATTTCTGGTTTTACAAGACCAGATGGTTGCAAATTCTACATAACAGCCGCTTTTCCATCGCAATGTGGGAAAACTAATTTAGCCATGATGACCCCAACTTTAAAAGGCTACAAAGTTGAATGCGTCGGGGATGATATCGCTTGGATGCGTTTCGATAAAGAAGGAGTTTTACGCGCGATCAACCCAGAAAACGGATTCTTCGGTGTAGCCCCCGGAACGAATCATGAATCAAACCCAATTGCTATGGAAACAGTCAAAAAAGACACAATCTTCACTAACGTTGCATCAACAAGTGATGGAGGTGTTTATTGGGAAGGGCTTGAAAAAGAAGTCGATTTAACCCATCTTAAAGTTTGCGATTGGTTGGGTTATGAGTGGACCCCCGGAAGTAAAAATTTATCATCTCATGGAAACTCAAGGTTTTGTTCTCCAGCTGTGAATTGTCCAATCTTAGATCATGCTTGGGAGGCACCTGAGGGTGTTCCAGTTTCTGCGATTCTCTTCGGGGGAAGACGCCCCGAAGGAGTTCCTTTAGTTTACGAAGCTTTAAATTGGAAACATGGCGTGTTCGTTGGTGCTTCAATAAGAAGTGAAGCCACTTCCGCCGCAGAATTTAAAGGAAAAACAATTATGCACGACCCATTCGCTATGCGTCCATTCTTCGGGTACAATTTCGGAAAATATATCGAACATTGGTTGAGTATGGAGAAGAAATCACAAAAATTACCCAAAATTTTCCATGTAAATTGGTTCAGAAAAGGTAAAGATGGAAAATTCCTTTGGCCGGGATTCGGAGACAACGCAAGAGTTATCGAATGGATTATGAGGAGATGTGCTGGTGAAGATGTCGCTATTGAAACACCGATTGGTTGGATTCCTAAACCCGGGACTCTTCATATTGAAGGTTTGAACCCAACGCCCAATATGGAGGAATTATTAAAAATCGATAAAAAATTCTTTTTGGACGAATTAACGGAAATTGAAAAATATTTCGATGAAAATCTAACAACGGATTTACCACAAGCGATGAGAGATGAAATAAAAGCTCAACGAGAGCGGTTAAGTAAATAAAAAAAAAATAAATTAAAAAAATTATAAAAACGCATGTATCATAAAGAGAAATTTCAATTATTTTTCTTTTGTTTTTCTTTTTTCGTTTATTTGAAATTATTATCATCAATCAGTATACAATATTTTTGAATAATTAAGTTTTATTTAATTGTGATATATATTAAATAAATATTTATGTTTAAAAAAGTGTTAATAATTATTTTATCTTGTGTTCTTCGTTCATTTTCTCTGTATGTTATGATCATAAGATTTGATACACTCTAAAATCCTTAGTGATGTCAATCTCATTAAGCACCTTCTCCAATTCAAGGCGATGAGATCAAAATGCGCTGAAGATGAGAAAACAGAATGAAAAAAGCAGTGAAGACTCGAAGCACTCGATAGAACGGCTGTTATGCCACTTATTTTATATTAATTTAAGAACAAGTGGGTCGATCGGGAGTTAATACGTGGCAACAATATAATAAGATGGGGAAGCAACCAGGAACACTCCACGCCATCAATCAATATTAGGATTCAAGGATGCAACACGATGGCAATATTGGAATAACATCAGTGATATCCGTAGAGATTTCATAATAAAGAAATGAGAAAAAATTATTAAAGGAAACAATAATGCCCATAAATGTAGTATATTATTATGCTGAATTTTATCATCATGCTAATATACTTAACCTAATAAAAAATTTACAAGTAATCTTTAAATTATTAATTACCTAGTTAAAGGAAATGCGTTGTTATAACTTATAACATATAGATTAATTATTAATACTTTCGTGGCCGATCACGTAGTTTTACGTTTTTATATTGTCATCAGTGAGGAGCCGCTCACGTATTTTTACATTTATATGACATTACTTGCGGCTCCTGGCATAACAATACGTAGTGGAGATGCCGGCCATTGACGTTACCCTAATTTTATATTGAGCGGACACGAAAGTGTTAATAAGAAGTAAATTTGGTGTTAAAATATATATTTTAATGAAATCAATTGACGTGATCTGTATTTATTGTAAAATTATTATTGGTTTCCTTTTATTGTACGGTTCCATAATTTTGACGAGCACTGTACAGGTGGGCAAATTTGGGTGTTATTATAGGCCAGGGATGGCGAACCAATGGCACGCGACACAATATTTTGGGCACGTCACTGATCACAAAATTCATTATGATGCACTACGAAAACGTGTGAAGTAGGTATTATATGACGAGCGAATGCGAGTGATTCCTACAATCTACATCACGAGTTTTTATTGCTAATGACGCATAGTTTGTTTATGCATAACATAATTAAATTTGATTACCGGTGCGAAACATGCTTACTGGATCGTGTTGACACTATTAAAGACCTGGGCATTGCTTTAGATAGCAAACTACTGTTTGATCAACACGTTGACACAGTGGTGGCCAGAGCTAATAGGATGCTGGAATTTGTAATGCGCTCTTCTGAATCGTTTTGCTGCCCTAGACCTATTATTTCTTTATACAATGCTTTCGTTAATAGTATTTTATCGTTCGGCAGTACAGCTTGGAACCCTCAGTACGACGCATACATTAACAGAATAGAGAGGATTCAGATAAGGTTTCTGAAGTATCTCTCCTATAAATTCCGGCATCCTCATACAGATTACCAATCTGCCTATCAAATGTATCATATGCCCACACTTCAGCAGCGCAGAACTTGCAGTGATGCCTGCTTTCTGTTCAGGTTAGTCAGAGGTTACTGTGATTCTTCCTATCTTCTTTCACGCATTGATCTGCATGTTCCCCCTCGTCGGCTGCGCTATGACCAGAGCGCGGCGAGTTTAGCTTAACGACTCCAAAACTCGCCCCATCCGGGCCTCGATGTTCAGAGGCGTCGCCGTAAGGCGACTAGCGTGTATCACAGAACGAAATTTCTAGTACTCTTTCAGTATTGTACACAGGTGTATGGTTAGGTTTTGATTTATTTCTCACGCAAGTGTATGCCAGTTTCTTNAAGTAGACCTTAATATGTAAGGGTGGAAATATGATTGTGACTGTGTTGTGTTTCTTAAGGTTCAGTTTCCTGTTGTTAGAATGATCGGTTGGTATTGAATCATATTTATTTATGATGTCTAAAAGACTTAGGGCCGGTTCAAAAGTCGCAAGATAAACTTGGGATAAATAGTTCTCGGTATAAATTTAAAAGTCAATTATCGTCAATTTAAAGATCGATATATCGAGAACCGGTAACCTTTAGCAAAATCGGTTTATATATATTTTGCTAAAGATACAAGTCTTTCATAAGAAGATATTTACGCTTAAACTGCCGAGGTCGTTTGCGGGCGAGGAGCGTGAATTGATATATCAACACGAAATTGTCAGCTTTGAAGGATTTTAACGGCTCGTCTGCAAGTGACCTCGGCGGTTTGAGGGTACATGTCTTCTTATAAGAGACTTTATATCTTTACCAAGACATATAAGAAACGTCTCAAATCGCCTAGGTCAGGGATGGCGAACCAATGGCACGCGACACAATATTTTGGGCACGTTACTGATCACAAAATTCATTATGATGCACTACGAAAAAAGTGTGAAGTAGATATTATATGACGAGCGAACGCGAGTGATCCCTACAATCTACATTACGAGTTTTTATTGCTTTTACGCATAGTTTGTTTATATATAACACAATAGTGAATATTTGATTTGAAGTTTATTTGAGTTTTATCTATGATTTTAACTGTTATGTAATATGGCTAGTACAGCAAAAAAAACAAAAAGTGCAAGATAGAAAGAGTATCAGAGAATTTCAAACTTGGTGGACAAATAAATATGGCATGATTAGTAAAGGTGACAAGGCGGTGTGTGTTTTATGTTCTGGAACATCGTCTGTGAAACGGCATTTTGAAACAAATCACAAATCTGTTAGTCAAAAAAGCGAACCAGAGCAAAAAGAATTAATTGCAAGTGCATTGAAATATACTAAATATGTTCGCAAAAATTGTCATACGAGCGCGGCAAGTTACGCGGCTACAACACACATAAAAATCTAGGGGCGTCAAATCAGGACTCCTTGCAGGCCATGGAATTGGACCTCCTCTCCCAATCCAGCGGTAGGAAATAATTCATTTAATGAATTTCGCACATTTTGTGAATAGTGCGCAGGGCATCCATCATGTTGGAAAACCATGTTATTCCTGTTTTCTAAACGTACACGGTCCAGCATTTCTATTAAATTATTATGTAAAAAATCACCATACGTTGCGCCATTTAAATGATCGGGAAAAAAATGAGGACCAATCAAATTATTTCCAATGAGCCCCATCCACACATTCACATTAAATTTTCTTTGGTTGCTCGTTTCCTTCGTTAGATGTGGATTTTCGTCAGTCCAATAATGGAAATTATGAAGATTTGTTATACCTTCTCTTTTAAACTTCGATTCGTCGGTCCATAAAATCCTTCTCAAGAAATATTCATCCTGAATGTCAGCATTTAAAAGAAACCGGCAAAATTGAATCCTTCGTTCAGGATCGCCGTCTTCAAGTGCCTGGATAGGTGTGTAATGATAAGGATGGTTGCCCATTTGTCGAAGAGTTAACCAGACTTAACATTGTGATATCCCCAAATTAGCAGCGACGTTTCTTGTTCTGGATGTGGGTGCTTCATCGAATGTTTCCAAAATGTCTTCTTCCACATTAAGTCCAGCACGTCCTGCACGTTCGGCTTTTCTTAAATTGCCAGTCTCAGCTAGACGCCGATAAGAGCGCCAAATACACTAATATGAGCAATTCGTCGATTTGGATAGCGTTGCTGATATTCTCGATGTCTAAATTCCATGGCTTACTGCCAAAACGCAAAAAATTGTTTAACCGATGGTTGTTAACCATTAATGAATTGAATTTCAACCGCAGGTGTAATCGATTTTGAATTTTATTCACATTGGGTAGGTTGTCANGTATGCAACCAATATCACAGTATTGGTATTGCAATATGCAAATCGCGTATTATAAAATAAATACTGTGATATTGGTTGCATACTTGCAACTTGAATCATTCGGGATTAACCACACGTCTCTTAAAACGGCTAAACCAACCCGAATGGTAGTTCCAAATCTAGTGTTAGTTCTAGTACCTTCAATGTTTCTCGCTTACAATACACAACTTTCTATACTTATGATATAAATTAATACTATTTAACACTAATCATAAACATAACATATTATTTAACTCAATATTAAATAATATACTATTTTGTAATTCGCTACAGTAATGGAAGCTATAACAGTACTCAAACGGGTGCTGTAATGAGACTCCTTACAGCATCCGATGCTGTAATGAGATTTTACTAACATTTTATGGAACCAGTTCAAGTTGGTGACATTGGGTCATTAATTTTTCTAGTTGTCAATGTGACAATGTTTGTCTATGGATGTTTAAACACGTTCTTAGCATCGAATACAAGGTCCA